TGATGTGTTTCGCGCTGCACCCCCGTAATCAAGTATTCTATGACATATGAGTAGTGCAGCCACTCGAGGACACGGAAGGAGCCAATCCACGTGACCAGTAGCTTGGGGTAATGTGTGTTCTCGTCCACGCGTGACCAAAGCAAAAAGTCTCCTTCTGTGACCTTTATTTCGTATTGGTTTGTCTTCTCAAGCATTCGCTTGTTTTCGGCGGCGCGCCGTTTGTCGACGATTGTTGAGTGAACTTCTTGTAGTGATTTTCGTAGTTATTCCACGGTTTGCCGTAGTTTCTTCTGTTTCCAGTCGATCGTGTGGAAACCAGTCTTTGATAGTCGCACGTTGACTTTGCCAACGATGGTGTTGAGCGCTGTGGTTGGCTCCAAGCCTGTGAGCATTCCATAGGACTTGTGTGGTCTAGCGTCGCCACCGGCGTTTGATTGATGTTGGCTTGTACAACCGGTAACAGATAATCCCATTCTGTTTCCTTGAGTTTTGTTTCTCTCAGCATGATTCGCATAAGGCCCAAAATGTCGCGGTTGACTCGTTCGACCGTCCCGTTGCGCCATGGGCAGTATCCAAGCACTATGTTGTGCTGTGCTCGTAGGCGCGTCGCAAGTTCCTTCATGACGGAGTTCTTGAAATGACTTCCGCCGTCTGAGATCCAAACTTCTGGGACTCCAAATAGCGCCGACCATTCCATGATGGCTTCGACGGCAACTTGGCTTGTCGGGCTGTCGCATGCGATGAGGCGGTAGTAGTGGATCAGGTCGTCTTTAACGACCAGGACGTACTTCGGTCCTCGCCACTCTTCGCCCATAAATAGGAAATCGAAGTGTAGGCCTTCGTTTCGGTGCGTCGCGTGCCAAGCATACTGTTGAGGTCGTTGAATGACCCTGCCACCCCTAGTGTGCGGGCACAGCAAGCACGTCTTCATCCATGCCGTGAGCTTTGCATCAAGCTCGCGGATGTAGAATAATTTCCGCATGTGGGCTGCCATGGCTTGGTGTCCCCGATGGCCCATGCTGCCACAATGCGCGACGATGCAGAGCCGCGTAAATAAGTCGTCGGCGTCGTCGGGTATCCAAATTCGGCCGTGGGCTTCAAAGAGCCCGTGGTCGTCGTGGTCGTTGGGCTTGGCAGATGTAGAATGAGCCTGAGCGTGTCGTATAGCGTCGAGGTTCAGCCATACGAAGTCGGCGTCGTCCAGCGGCCGTAACTTCGGTGGCGGCGGCTTATAGACACGCTTGGGTTGTTTTTTCTTCTTTGTCCATTTGCCCAGCGCGCGCACGTACTTTCGATGTTCCGTTCTTCGGAATGAGTGGTGTCGCCATTTCGGCGGGCTTTCCCACCAAATTCGTCGTACTTTCGCCTCTGTGGGCTGCGGTATGCCCCATCGGCTCATGAGGTCGGCCCATAGGTTGTGCACTCCGTCGATGTGCTGGATGACGTATCGGTACTGGCCGATCATGTCGGCCCAGCGGATCAGCTTCTCGCGCGTGTGTGCCTAGAGCTCGTCGTGGGGCGCGAAGACGCGTATGAGGTTCTTGTGGTCACAGTACAGGAGGAACCCTTTTGGTCGTAGCAGCAGGTACTTGACGGTGTCGCAGGCACGCGCAATAGGGTAACCTTCTTTTTCGATGACTGACCAGTTTACTTGCGTTTTGTCAAACATGCCGCTTTGCTAGACGAGGAGTTGATGTTGCTGGTCGTGGATTGGGATGTCGTCGCCGTAATCGTGGACTTGGGCGACCACGATGGACCAGCCGTAGGCGGAGGCGTCGGTGAATAGGCACATCGCTGCATCTTCATGTGGGTGACACAATTGAGCGGCGTTCCGCATCAGTTCTTTGACTGCGTCGAAACTGTTCCGTTCTTCTTTGGTCAAGTCGATTGTGATTGATGTCGCGATTCTTTTTTTTTCTTTTCTTTCCAACCAACGCTTCTGTGAGTCGTTTTTGGAGTGGGTCGATTCTTTGGGCAAAGCCAATCAGGCTGTGGCGTATCCAGTTCACTGCGCATATGAATTGCTGCAGCTGACCTGCATCGGTCGGGTACGGGATGTCGCATAGATCCTGTCGCACCCCGTCGCCGTCGATGATTCTGCCGCACCATTTGATTTCGCTGCATAGTAGCTTGCTCTTGTGTGGGTTCAGACGCAGTCGAAACTTCGTACATACATCGAACACGGCGCGCAGCACGCTCACATACTCGTCGATGGTGTTTGCCCACACCAGGATGTCGTCGATCCAAATTAGGACGTTTTTGTACAGTAGGTCCTTGAAACATTCCGCCATGGTGTTCTGGAAATATAGCGCCGAGTCGCAATGGCCTTGCATAACCCTCGTTGGGGTCATGATGCGGTAGCCAAGCATAAAGGATAGTAGTTCTTGTGAGTTCTTCTCGAGTGGTAGCTGCCAGAAACCTTTCGTAAGGTCGAACACGCCGAGGTACTTGGCGCCGCGGACGTTTTCTAACACGAGGAACTGGAACGGCATGGCGCCAGCGAGTGGGATCGTTTGGCTATTGATGATTCTGTAGTCGATCGTAAGACGAAAGTACTGCAACAGTTCTTCGATTGTCCACTGATCGCTTGTCTTGACGAGTTTCTTTCCTTCCAGTTTCATAACCGGGTTGACGGGGCTGTAATGGGAGCTTGAATTGTTTGCATAAATAACTTGGTCTTGCTCCAGCTGTTTGCCAAACGCTTCGACGAACATGCCCGTCAAGGGATTCACCTTTCTAGGTTTGCAACGATTGGGGCGTGCATCCGCCTTGAGTCGTATTTCCATCACCTTCACATTCGCCGGGAGGTCTGTGCCTCTGAACTTGGTTCGCCATACTTCTTTGGCGGCGGCGTCGACGACGATTCCTCGTAATTGCTTGAACGCCACAGTGTGTTCTTGGTCGGCGGCGTTCGCAGATATGATCGCCATCTTGTACAGCTGTTCTGCCGCTTGCATGTCTTCCACGTCCAGCTGTTCATCGCTTGCGTGTAGCCCTCGCACACTGACACCGAATGCGATGTCTTCGGCTTCGCCGGGGTCACCAATGTCGTCGCCGTCGTCGTGGGTTTGTCGCACGGCCACTTGCTCGAGTAGTCGATCCATGTCGAGCCCAATCGACATTAGGGCGTACTTGCTAATAATGAGTTCGTCGTTGTCGTCGACCACGTAAAATAGCTGCTTTCGAGGCAGCTTGACTTGGCCGGCGGGTGTGCTCAGAGTGACTCGCAGTTCCACCGTCGTTTTCTCTATTACGGGTAGGTTCCCCACTGTGCTTCCAACCCACGCTTTGGGCAGCTGCTTCGCTTGAACTGTTTCGTCCAGTTTGCTCAGTGTCTTGACCATGGCGGTGGAAATAATTCCCACATCGCTTCCGTTGTCAGGGCAGTAGGGCACGTCCAACACTCCGTTGCTGGTGGCCACGCTTTCGCTGGCAGGGCTTTCCAGCATTCGTCGGAGCTTCTTTTTCTCAGGCTCCGTTGCCTTCGCCTCGCGGCTTCTCTCTTGTTCTTCCCGCCATTTCTTGTTTGCTGTCATGAGACTGTCCCGGAGCTGCTTAGCTTTGGGCTTCAGCGTGTTTCCGTTCTGCATGCACTTTGCAACGAGCGCCCATTCGTACCTGACTTTGGCTCTGTCTTCGGCCGATGCGCCGGGGCATTTCTCGTATAGATGGGCTGCATCGCCGCACTTCAGACACCCCGTCGGCATGATTTCTCTTGGTTCACGTTGTTTGATTTTTGACTCCCAGCCATAGACACGCCGCACCGTTCTGCTAGCCCCAGCTGATTTGGCTTTTAGGATCGTTCGTCCCTTTTGCCGAATCACGCCCGGTTCGTCGACTTCGTCCTCGCTGTCGTTCGTCAGTGGGATGAAGTCCTCGGTCTCCACTAGCTCTTTGGCTTTGCGTTTTTTCGCTTCTCTCTTTTGTTCTTCCAACACCCGGAAATTCTGTGATTCCCATCGGTTTTTGAAAGGGTTCACGTATCCACCATGTGTGGCAGCTGTCACGAGGTTTCCATCCTCATCGTAGTCGTCCATATCAATTTCACCGAACATCAAAGGGTAAGCCTGGTTAGAGCTTTGTTCAACGGCCTTAGGTTTTTCGACGCAGTTCCCGCGGGACCAGTTCGACTTTACACGGTTTTTCTCCTGGCTGTTGCTCTGGGGTGTATGACCCGACCCGGCATCTTGTTTCCCTTCGCGGTCGCGCAAAATTCCTCCATGGGATGGAGCGGGGCTCCGGCCACGTCGCATCGCAAATCCCACTTGTTGCTTGGGTTTGCTGTCGGGCGGTCCATAACGGGAACTGCGGTTTTTATCGCGCCGTTCGTACGGACGACCACCGTCTCGGTCACGCGATTGCGAGCGGTAGCCTGAGTAATGGTTTCGTGGCTCGTGGCGGTCGCTTGATCGATCGCGTCTGTCGCGCCCTTGACTACGGCTTCGTTCGCGGTCGTCACGCTGTGGACGCACTTCGCGTTGTTCTTGTCGACTGTAATCATCCTTTCGGTGTTCATTCTTGTTCTTCGCTTCTTTGGCTTCATAGCCCGGCTTTTTACGTCCCGCGCCATATGTCGAGTAAAAACGCTGCTGCTCCTGCGCATGGTGCATTACCAATTCGCTCATGGATTCCCAAGTGAATTCCACCGGATGTCACGCCTTCTCCATGTCGAGGACGCATGCATCTCGGACAGGCTCTGGGTCCACCATTTCTAGCAGCCGTTTGAAGATCTTCTTCCGCATCTCGGGCTTCTTCAGATGTCCTTTCATCACGCGTGCTTCGATTCGTTCGTCGCAGTCCGCCAAGAATTTACACACGCGGCTGAGAACGTCGTCGTCCTTCATGTCCATGTGGATCCCGTGGAACAGCAGCGGGATGTCCGCTTCAACGCCGTTCTTGGGTTCGTCGACGATTATTCGTAGCTCTGTTTCGAGCACGGTTTCATCGAGTTCCTTGGGATCGCCTCGTAGCTTGCGCATGATCATGAACTGCTTCAACAATCTCTTGTCATCGAAACACTCCTTCCATCCTTCGCGGTACTTCCGCACTTCGAGGTTTCGACGCATGCATACGACCCGCAGGTCTTCTTCGTATGTCTCTCGGTCGAGCAGCCACTGACGTACTTGTTCCTGGCGGATGTCCTTCAACTTAGGAAAGCTGAGGACTGGGTCTGCACCCCCGTCGATTCGCTCCAGCGGTCGTTCGCGCGGTCCGTTGCTCATGCCTCTATGGGCGTCGTCGCTGCGGCCAAGACGCGGTCGGTCCTGCACTCTCTGGGACATCCTTGATGAGTGCTAGTCTAGATGCACTAAAGCATTCTTTGTCGCAACTGCGCCTCCGTGCAACTTCTCAACACAAACACAATGTTGGGGGAGCAGTGGACTCCCGGGCAAAGTTTGGTGGTGTATTGAGCAGTAGACTACGGGTATGTCCATCTTGGGAACGCAACAGGATGGACTACATAGTATCGATGCAGTAAAGTACAGAGACCACCGCCTAATTATCCGTGAAATGGGCGACCGTCAAGGCTTTGAACTACAAACGCTTTACTGTTACCTATCGAACTTCTTCAACTCATGCGAGCTGAGAACCATGCATAATCTCGTTCAGTGTTTGATACAAACCTTAAACTCTGTTAATGAAACATGTTGGTCACCTAATACATACATTAGGCCATTAAGTGCCCGCTGAGCGATATTAACTTTACAGCGTAATACTTCCAAGTATCAATGTCAATATCGCCTACTAGTGCGTAGTACAGTACTCGACGAACTCAGTGTCGATTCATTTGCGTTGTACTGGAACAGTACTATTAATAGTATTGCGTATTACTGGTACATCGTTGTTGTTCGAGGGGCACATTGGAAATGAAGAAAGAAGCGACGTCGTGCATGGGAATTGAACCCGAAACCTCCACGTTCAAAGTGAGGTATCTAAACCACTGCGCCAGTGGACTCATACTTTTATTAGCAACGTTACATATATTAATAACACAACACATCATATTCAGTACCGGCCTCTCCGCATCTATTTACATGTCCCACTTACTAGATACTCGTACTATTAATAGACTTTAGAGAAACTTGAACGTCGCCTTAACTGTAAACAATACCCATATGATTTGAAGTCGAATAGGCTTCCTCCTCATTGGCCATAATTCCCTCAGAAGGCACCGTGTCATAAACACATGATTGGAAAGCACATGCCACATGTCATTACACCACATTTTTAGTCGGCTACAAGTGAAAAATCCCAATAAGAGCAGGCAACACTGGTCCGAACGAAAAAAGTAATACTACTGTATATTCATGCGACAACTTGTATGTCACGATATGCGCAAGATGTATACATGCGACACTGGACATGTGGTACACCGGTACTATATAACAGTTGGTGTGCAGCAGTGCTCGTGCAGGTCGTACGTACCCTTAAATGCAAAAGCTATGGGTTCTACAACACTAAGTGTGAATGAAAATGTGCCGAATTTGAAGTCCCCTAGCCCACAAGTCCCACAAGTTTCATTTAATCATTCAGTACAGCTTGGTCATATCACAGTACGTCTTTCTGATAAAGGATAAAGAGTAGCTACTGTACCAGAACAACTGCCATTTTACAAAAAACTACATTCACTTGTCCGCATCAAGATCTCGGTGTCGTCGATGCCACCCAGTGCCGTACATTTTCTCAAGCGACAATTGGCAGAGTTTGAGGAGGTCATTTCGAGGTAGGGTATTCGGAGGTGCCCATATTGAATGAGGCAGCCAAGACGGCTTGAGTGACAGCTTGGTCCATTGCGGCGGCATGCCATTGAGAGATTCAGACACCAACTCACGTGCCCTCTATGTACAATTTCTATTTAATATAAACCACCATTCAAAGTGTTACCTTTACAAGGCTATCATGATCAAAAGACTCGCATGCGTTGTATGTACTACGAGCGCATCTCGGGTTCTTGTACGACGATGCAGCGGCATGCATGATCGTGCGTCCAGCTGCAGTGTGATCGACGTAGTTTTCGAACGACTTTGAAACATGGACACATGAATCTATCGGCTCTCTTGTATCCAAAATTGCAAGCTATAATTTGCTTTACTCGTTAAAAGTAGTATATAGTTATGTATGGATATGTGGTTATATTTTACCGCTGCAGTGTGACCACTTCTACTCGTGTACGTTCGTAGTGCCTGAAGCAATGCTCGACGGGCTCTCCCAATACATTGCGCATCCGCTACTGGTTTGCGCATGGGCATGGCGTGGACATTCCGTACTTGTTTTTGCAGTCGTCTAATCGACACGAGGATTGGGAGTCCGACTACCACGTGACGTGAGTGAACGTATAACCAGTTCAACGTACGCATATTCAAACTTCCTAAAGTTGTGGGTATACGCATGGCCTCCCACTCCTGAAACAATGCAGCGTACATGGCAGCAGCCTCTCCACGTTGGTTGAGCAGCCCCGTGGAAAATGCCAACTCTACGGGGAAAAATGCGTATAGTTCAGGCGTCAAGTGAACACTACGCACAATACCTTCCATCCCCTTAACGACCCCTGTGATATACACCCATCGGTATGTACACGGAGTATTTGCCGTGGCGTACTTAACTGCGGCGTCTTGGAAGCTCTTCGAATATCCAGCTTTTGCCATCCTACAGCAGTAGTTAGACTTGAATTTTGTTGAAGTTCCAACCTGGCTATAATGCATTGCTCAAGGTAATGACTTCTTGAATGCCTGCCGTCGCCGGGTAAGTCAACACCGGCCACCTTGGCCAAGTAACGACTGTCGTGTGAGCCGTCTGCACTCGCTCCCAAAAGGATGTACTCATGGGGATGACTGCACTCGAGTACAGCACTGCTCACACAAAATCTCACGGATGAATGTGGGCTAGCACTGTTGCCTGTAGCGTTTGCATCATCTCCGTCCACGGTTTCGCCGTTGAGGAGGCGGCTGATGTTCATGAGTACAATGGAAAATGACCTTCTTACTTTAGCAGCACCAATCAATATTGCGGCGATTGATTGGACAAAATGTATGCATTTATCGGATTCCTTGCAGTGACCTTTGGCGACAAAACGAATTCGATGCAGCGCTGTATAAGGTGCTGTGTACGTCATAACGGGGACACTCCTTGTGTAGTTCGAGATCGCACTGGCGGTAACAATCTCATGAACTCTACGGATGATCTAAAGCGAGATGTAAGGTGACGAACTGCAATCAAAACGCGCTCGACTGCGGTGTTTGGACGAGGGGGTGCGTTTCGATGTCGAGGCAATGGCAGCAACCCAACGACACCATGACGAATGGTTTGATGCGAACTTTATCGACCATAGACGTCGTGGTTCCTTCGGCCATTCCACTTCAGTCGCGGACACTTTTCGTGCCGTCCACGACACGTTTGAGCATGAGAATAAAGTCGCCCGCGAAGAACGCGACCCTAACTTCAACGACAACGTGGCAAGTAACGCCGACAACGTGGCAAGTAACGCCGACAACTTTGACGGAATGGATTACCAGACAGCCGACGACGACGGATTGAGCTCCGATAACATAACAGCGTACATCAGTGTGTTAACCAATTCGAGAAATTACTTCTCGCTTGTCCCCGGTAAGTGCACTCTAATTGAGATCCCCTTACGTAGCAAATAGGATACCTGTACCTACTCCCGTCGGCCAGTAACAACTTCAAGCAGTTGAAGTTTGGGGGGAAGGCTGTTCATGTGTTCTGGATCCTGCACACTTTTGCCGACATGACAACGTGCGAACTCTACTACTGCACGACATGCCGCGCCACGCGACGCTACATGTCGACACGAATGGTGTTTGCACAGGCTGCAACTTTCGAAAGCCGCAATGATTTCGAGCTACAATGTGGGGATTCGACCGAATGTATTCACGTTCGGTGAGTTTGTTATTACTACTGTATCGCATGTGAAGTTGTAATAGGTCAGTTCAGAGCCTTGTCGTCAACGAGCCAACGCCCGACGATGCTGACTTGGCAG